CCAAGCATTCAAAGTGATGTTCTTACTCTAAAGAAGGAAAGAGTCAAATATTTGTATTCTGTAGAAAAAATATGCGTTCTCAGTTTCGACGAAATGCATATAGATTGAAAACTCTGCTATGACTCTAAACTGGACCAAGTTCTCGGTTCTTTTCAAAATGTGCAGTTTGTTTTAATCAGAGGTCTCATTTCGTGCTCTGCCTCAAATTACTGAGAAACCCCGTTTTAGATAAAGGATTTGTTTTAGAAGATGGAACTGTTTTAAATTTTGATATTATTAAAGAGGTTTTAAATAGAGATTGAGAAGAAATCAAATTGTGTCACAAACTAAAACCGAATTATTTATTGGTCAAGAGAAACGAGAGACAAAAAGTCGCTCCAGAGAAAACATTATTTTCAAAAAGTACCGCAAAAGGTATACTCCACCCCACAGGAAATCAAAAAGCATCTGACTCATGGACCTTATAAGAAACAGACTAACCCAAACGGGTTTTCTCCCTCATCTGAGGCGTTGCCGGCTGTCACCTTGATCATATCCGGAGGAGTAGGGACGACTTGTAGAAATTTAACATTGGTTGCCTATTGCAGCGTGTACTATAATTGTCAAGAAAAAGCTGGTTGTAGCGCCTCATTTCACAAATCAGAATTTATACATATTTTTATTTTTGAAATTGAGATAGATTTTTAAAAATCTTTGGTTTTGCTATGCTGTAAGGAAATTTGTAACTACTTCTTTTAAAAAAAAAAATATTTTAAATCTGAACTAATAGAAAATTTCAAACAAGCAATTTTCTCTTGCAATTTTTACGCTTTTTATTGGTGTATATAAGTAAAAAATACTAAAATATTTAAAAACGAATTTTTGAAAGTTTTGTTTAAAATTCTAAATTGTGCTGCTTTTTTAAAATTATAGAGTATTATAGCACAATTTCTATAAAGGAATTTTATTTCAATTATATTTCATGATACATCATAGTGATAAACACTTTTGACTCCTTAAAAATTTTTATGCATTTAATTCTAATATTAAAATTGTATTTAACCGTAATAATTAATTTTGCTTGTATTTTATAGTGATTATGTTTTTTAATTTATTTTTAGTTGAGCATAAGATTTTTTTTTTTATTACTTACTGTTAATTTAATTTATTAGCCCAAAGGGGCGGTAGCTTAGAAATGCTCCGAGTGCTTTATGCTCCGAATTTTATAAATTACTAAAATAAATATTCCACTTTAATGTTAATAAGTTAATGATGAGATAAATCAAATTAATGATTGTTTTGTAATGTTATAGTTTTGAAAATCACTGCCTGAAAATGGTCATTAAATTTAAAAAAAAAAAAAAAAAAAAAATGTTATCAGATCTTCTTTAATTTTACCTTACTTATTTTTTATAAGCATCACGTACTATCAATCTTATTTAATTTTACGTTATTTGCAAGCAAAATTAAGTTCATAAATTTTGTGCCTAGAGCTTTGACCGCCTTACCAAAGTAAAGATGTTTGTACAAGAATTACGCGTGAAAAAATGCGCGAAATGCAGTAAAAAGTGCTTTAATGAGATATATTAAATTCTATTTGGAAAAAACTTTGGCTTTCATAATCTCACCACTATACAACGTATCACATTTAATAATTAAAAAGAGTCATGTGATGGTGTTGGTGTATTTAATTATGGCAAAGCACACTAAGGCTATCTGCCTAAGAGGAGGGATGCCTTCGTGGAGGACTTTCTAAGGGAAATTGGCTCGTATACACGTTACACATGGAGAAAACCACGAAAACACTCATGCAGCCAGCCCGTTCGCGGGATTCGAACCTCGGACCGAACTACCAATGTTCAGCGACTTTACCGCTCGGCCGCTGATGGGCCAGTAGTCATGTGATACAAACGCCATAAGTTTCTGTGTTAGAGTAAACCAGATCGTCCCTACTCTTTATTGCCGACATGTCGGTGACGCGCGCCCCGCCCACTGGGTTAGTCTATCTCTTATGAGGTCCATGATCTGACTTCTATGAGTTAATCGGTATTATGAATAGTACGAAAATAGTACCAACAAGAATAACAAGTATTTAACAAACTAATTTTGTTAAGTACTTGTTAAAGTTATTCTTATTGTATCCTTTGTAACTAATGATTGATTCGATTTTGTGCTGGATTAGCATTGTAGATAAAATATAATAGTATAAAACATCAAAGTAATTGGCATAGAAAAACCTGCTTCCTTTACTCACACTTTTGAAAAATTAAATAACTGTTTAGGTACTCTGAGTAAAGCTATTTTGTCAAAATTAAGGTAACAATGTTACATACATTTATTTAATGGTAATATAGATATAAGTATAAATTAGAAAATTATTTAAAAAATATCTATTATTATATTGAATCGGAAGAGAATTATAACAATGTAAAATTTACAATAGGCAAAAATCAAACGTAGGTTAGCAGAAATGTTGCCATATAGTCATATATGTTTAAAACTAGGTCAATGTAAAGTTATTTTTTGAGTAAATTTAAATAGCTGCTATTATAGCTATCTTAGAAGCAGTATAAAAATTCTCTCAGTTAGCATGCAGATAAAGAAATGATTAGAAATAAACGTGCATTAAATAAAAAAAACCTGCAAATAAAATTAAAAAAAAAAAAACACGGAACTTTATGTTAAGAGTAGCAAATTTTATCTATTATTTTAAAATTGAGTAAGTATTATTAAATTTTTTAAGGGTTCAGTCTAAAATGCATAAAGCAGTAACATTGTCTCTTCCAAATTACAGCTATCTTTCACACACAGCTCATTTTAAACGCTGGTTCAAAAACGCTAATTTCCAAACTGTGAATTGCATCTGCGCGCTCAGTGTCATCATGACTAGATTTATGGATCTCGAGTTTATGTAAATATATGAAGTAAATACTAAATGTTTATGTCATCAATGAATATTATGTACCAAATATAAGCGTATATACGCTTTTGTCCATATGTAATTGTGTCTGTATGTTCTTGTTTATATGTAATTGTACCCATGTATCTTTGGCACTGTATAGTTAATATGCATCTATTATGCACTGAATAATCATGTACCTAATGTGTCTGTACTCAAAATGTCTGTATATATGTATATGAATTTATGTTCTGTGTTATGATAATGTAACTATGCATCTGCACATTTTATCCTGTAACACGGCACCGTATCGCAAAAATCAAACTACGGTCCGACTCTAAAATTAATTGCACCAATTATCTGTTCAGCATTGTATTAAGTACCTATTGTTAATGCATGTAAAGTAGCACTTACCTAACGCTTGGGTACACACTGATTACTGTGAACCTAATACACGTGTTTTAATATCTTTGTACATTGGTTAATGCACTTCAAAAACAGCACAAATAACCCAGTAGCAAGACACTGTACAACCCAGTACTAATCTAGGGTCTAACTTTTAATTCACTCCACTAATTACTTATTCCAGCATTACATTGCGCACCTAATATTTCATTATGTACATGACTTGTGTATCTAATGATAATGCTTCAAAGGATCATAATGTACTCAACACATGAGTACACATGTTATGTATATATGCTATCGTATCCATGCTTTTGCATACAGCTTGTAACATAGCAATGTATTATCCAGTGTCTAACATTAATTGGCTTTAACGCCACTGTATTAAGTACCAAATTTGTATGTTTATGTATCAGTGTATTAGCATAATAACCACGTATGGATATCTAGTTAAAGGTGGACGTGACGCTATACCGATTAACCGTATTGGTAGAGGGGTGTTGCCCACGTCCTCCGTCGCATGCAAAGGCATTACACATACCTTAATTAGCACGGTTAATATGTGGAAACGTAGTTTAAGGTATGCAGATTTTTCTATAATACAATACAAATGCAAACAAATTGCTAATCTTTTTTAATACCCAAACGGTACTTACTTTCTGGATGAACTTTGTATTTTACACTGTTTTCCATTATGAGCCAAATATGAAATATCGTAAATATTAAAATATATACTTGATATATTAAAATGTGAAATAGATGTGCACATATAAAATTAGAAAACGGAAATAAACTACAACGTTTCGTACTTTCTGATTATTTGCACCAAGGGTTCAACAGCCGGTAAAATCTGCTTTGTTTTTGGCGTATCTTCGAGTATACACGATGGTGTTATGAAATAGTAGAGTTAGTTTACTTCTTTCTTACCTCCACGGAATACACGTAACAACAGCCAACCTCGCAAGTGAGTACATATGGATTTGCACCTCAATATTTAACTAAATAGTATCTATCGGCTATAAGAATGTAAATATCGGCCACACAGATCTTTACTTTTTTTTGCATAAAATTTTTCTTTTTCATTATCTATGAGCGGAATAACAATGAACTGGAAACTTTTCGTAATGCTGCGAAAAATCAGATATGACAATAAAAGTACCATCATTTCCAGAACTATCTTTTAAAATTGGACTTCTGCTTAAAAGTATTTTTTTTTTTTTTTTTTTTTTTTTACATATATTAATACTATATGAAATAAGATGGCTAATACATTAAGGACAGTTTGTTTTCTTATTCAGTATTTATTAAATTATTAGCATTCTGTATCTTTTACAAGTTGTGGTAATTTTAAAAGGTGTAGCATTGAAATAGACCTTAAAAAATCCACTCGTGGTGTCACTGATGCTCAGATTTGAAACAATAATGTTATACTCCTAATACAAAAATAATTATAACTGCCATTCTTATGGCTGCTGCCAACTTTCTGGCTGGAATCAGGTTTTATTGCACAAAAGCGAACGATTATTATTACACACGCATATGATAAATGAAGTTTTACATAAATAAGTCGCACGTAATAACAACGCCGTCCGAAAAATACACGAGCAAAGATTATAACATGATTTCATGCGAAATAGATCTCATAAGAAAATCAAAGTCCTTTTTTTCACAAAGTAATGATCGAAAATAGTGCAAACTTTTATCTGAAAAACTGAATATGTCGGATGATCAAAACATACACGCTGCTATGGATGCAGATGACCCGAAGTTTGCAATACAAAATGAAAACTGCTCTGATAACTCAACCAAAGTATTTGCTGAAGAAAACGATGAAGGCTTCTTTAACTTACACCATAGTTATTCAAATGCAATAGAAGCAGCAATTACGCAGTGGATTGCGAATTTGAACACTGACTGCATTACAGAAGATCAAAATAACAAATGTGAAAATAACACTGACAATGAAAATACAAATCCTATTCAGCAGGAAGAAAGAAATGAAACACAGGAATACAGCCCAGAAAATCAAAATACTTCCACAAAATGCGATACACGTCACGAACCCGAAAACACGAAGAAAAATGCAATTTCCTCGCATCTCCAACCTCTGTCTGAGAATACCAAAGAAAATGAAGTTGAATACACCACTGACGAAAGTACACTTATTTTAACAAACACTTCAAGTACGGATGTTGTCCGATATCAGACAGAAAAATCAGAATTATTTTCGGTGTCTGGGTTGCTCTCGCAAGAATACAGTAAAAGAACTGCTGATATCGATGTTGGTGAATTAGATCGAGAGGAAGATGTATATTTAATGTCACATATTGCATACAATAACAAAATAGAATTTCAAATTTCTAACACTGATAACCTCACAGAAGAAATCTCTAATCTCAATGAGGATAAGAAAGAAGGAACGTCTAGTTGCATTTCTCAAATCTCTAATTTTCAAAATGTACAGTCCAATACAGATAATTTTCACGAAGATGAAGAAACGTGCAGAACTACGGAACTTTTCGCACACGACAGCAACAGAATACGTACAAATGACCTTGAAATTGAAGAAATATTTATTGATGATGAGTGTAATAACAGCTCAGTTATAGAAGTGGAAGAAATAAACGCGTCAACAAATTCTTCCGAAAGAAACAATTGCACAAATTCCACAATCACAAAAGACAATCATAAAACACGAGAAAAAGTAAAACGCAGACAGCTGTTTGCAAAACCATCCAAAAGCAAATGGACAGCTTTCAATTTAAAACGAACAGCCTCAAGTCATTTATCTAAGCGCGCAAGACTGAGAAACGCGAAAATAAAAAGTTACAAAAATCAATCCAAGACACTGGAAAATAGTTTACAAACTCACATTTGTACCACTTTAAAGGACTTTTACCCTCAACTACGACTAACAACTGATGCTTTCCAAAAAACGGAAATGTTTCTACGAGATATAGTACACAGGTTAGGACGAGAAGCTGCAAGTTTAGTAGCCTTATCTCATAAGAAAATCGTTAATCTAAGAGTCTTAAAATACGCTATTAAGCTTTGCTTGGAACATATCAAAAATGAAATAGACATTGCCGCAGGAAGAAAAAATAAATGGATGCTTTGAATGTATATTCTAAGATGAGATTTATATGTCAGTTGTGCATTAAAAGTAGGTTACATTTTAAGTTTTTTCATTTATGTATTTAGGGCCCACCAGCGGCCGAGCGGTAAAGTCGCTGAACACTGGTAGTTCGGTCTGAGGTTCGAATCCCGCGAACGGGCTGGCTGCATGGGCGTTTTCGTGGTTTTCCCCATGTTTAACGTGTATACGAGCCAGTTTCCCTTAGAAAGTCCTCCACGAAGGCATCCCTCCCCTTAGTCAGATAGCCCTCGAGGCTTTGCCATAATCACACACACACACACACATTTATGTATTTATAATGACAAAAAGCTCTTAAGTAAATGAAAAATCATACATTTAATTTCTTAATTCGTAGTTGGTATGAAACAAATTACAAGTATAATAACACAAATTCATTTTCTCAACATATCTAATTACAATTAATAATTTCTCAGTGACAGAAAATACATTTTAACTTAAATTGTATTTAAACAGATTAAGCAGACAAATATTACAATAACTACTTAATAGAATATCCAAGCTCATCACATAGGCACATTTAATAAAACAGTGGACTAGCAACAATGGTTTCCTTCGACAATTTCTATGAATCATGCATCAATAAATACTAACAGACTCAATTTCAAATTTTAATTCAGTACTTCCTTAATAAAGCGGCCACTGCAGTTAGTCGCCAAAATTGGCAAACTTAGTTGTCAAATTTGTGATGTTCAGGTTTTAAATATCACCAAAACTGTATATAATGGCTTTTTTATTAGAGAAATACCTTAAATTATTACAAATATAGCACGAAAGATGATTACATATCCCACATGCAAATATACATATAAAAAAACAGTAACCTTCAGTTGGGAGTACAAGTCTGATTCTGGCGAATGTTGGCAATGTAAGCCATAAGTTACTACCCTTAATAATAGTGAAGGAAGGTGCAATATTTCCTTCATTTATATGTTGTCCAATAAATATCTCAAAAATATTATACTCCCAACCTGAAGATTATCCAAACAGCTACTTAATAGACTAAAAGAGAAACACGCTAATGTGACAATCAAAATCGTAAAAACAACCTTTATTTAGCGTAAGTATGTTGAAACACTCAATCAATTTCGAGGGCAGCTAAAGGTCCCTCCTCATCAGGAGAAAGAATACCTAGAAAGAAGAAAAATAAAGGGGAAGGAGTCTCAGAAACACGGGGTCCTTATCAGCACTGCACGTGGTTATAACCGGATTTTTTAATCAGAGTTACACTGGCCGCCTACTTTTACTGAGCCAGGCTATCTGATCAAACCAGTAACACAAAGGACAAGGAAAAATTAGCGAAGTTAAAAATAGGGAGCGAGGGGCAACTGCACCTTCACGCTCAAAATCTGAACTTCGAATGAATCACTTCGACTGAACTCAAAATCTGAACTTCGAAAGTTCGAACTTTCGAAGTTCAGATTTTGAGCGTGAAGGTGCAGTTGCCCCTTGCTCCCTATTTTTAACTTCGCTAATTTTTCCTTGTCCTTTGTGTTACTGGTTTGATCAGATTGCCTGGCTCAGTAAAAGTAGGCGGTCAGTGTAACTCTGATTAAAAAATCCGGTTATAACCACGTGCAGTGCTGATAAGGACCCCGTGTTTCTGAGACTCCTTCCCCTTTATTTTTCTTCTTTCTAGGTATTCTTTCTCCTGATGAGGAGGGACCTTTAGCTGCCCTCGAAATCGATTGAGTGTTTCAACATGCTTACGCTAAATACAAGGTTGTTTTTACGATTTTGACAGCTACTTAATATTATTCTATCATAATACTTTACACTATTATCAACTCTTAAGGAGCAAATTATTAGGTACTTACGTATTTTCCCGTCGACCATAAAGTTGCAGAGATGCTGCCAAACTTGCACCAATCATTCGGGCGGAATTTTGAAGGAAAAGGATGGCTCTTTATTTAATTAGATAATCACAGTAAAAATTTCAGAAACATCATATAAAAAACTTACGTAAATATGAGCTCAAGTTATGAAATTATGTGACAAATTCCTTAAAACTTACAATAGTCAGTCTGGAAGCCAAAAATCCCTAATGACATTTAAAATAGCAGTAAAATAGTCACCTTATTTGTGAACTCGGTGTCACATAAATAAGAATCTACATGGTTACTATGTCTTCAAATAATTTCCCGCTGGTCGAGAATCTGTTAGGGTTACATAAAACCAAAGCTGGGATCGTCGCAAATTCGAAATGCTTAATTATCTATTATGGATATTAAATCGCATTATCTGGCGACAGCTTTATCTGCGGAAATGAGACGGCAAAATAAGCAAGTACCAAATATTATCCAGTACTTTCTTATTAAAGCAACCACCATACTGACTCGCCAAAATTGGCAAAATCGTGTAATTCAAACGTTATCAAAGATTTATGTGGTAGTTGCTTTAACAAAAAAGTTCTTAAAAGACCAAATATTAAAAAATATATAGATGGTAAATCAAATACAGCAAAAAAACGGTTATTTACATTTACAACCTGGATATGGTGAGAGAAAATGGACGCACACTACAAACTTTCTACACATTTCAAATATTACATCCATGCTAATAAATTTCAAACTTACGCCTATACACATGAAAGTGTTCTTTTGAAAACACATATCAACCAGAAAACATTTCTAATATATTCATGGCAAGTAATTCCTTAATGTCAGTAAGTTTATTTATGAAGGAATATAAAGCTACAAAAAGAAAATAGAAACAGAATGATGTGCAGTACTAGTAATAATAAATACACAACATTTCAACAAGCATCTCTGAAACAATTTTTCACTGTCTTCTCTGATATATGTATACAAATGGGAGACTATTTTCCACATACACAGGTGAAAACGAAGGTACATACAAAAAAATTATCATCATCAACATGAAGAACTTTCCATACAACAACTACTACTACATTTCACATTTAATTATAACTCTCATCACTGTATTCAAACTCAGTTCTGGACTACTTTTACACTGAAGATTCCATTTATTTAAGATTACAACAAACAATTACAGGATACTCATATCCTAAACATTTTTTAAAAAAATCTCTTTAACTCTTAGATACACATAACAATCTTTCTAAAATATTTTATTCACACACATATATATGAGAGATTCAAATAAATGTTAAACAAAGATAAGACTTCAAGCATGGTTTATAACAAGGTTATAAACACTTTTTCTACATAATAACCGAAGACTTATTGTTCACTTATACATCAAACCTGCAACCAGCAGTTGTTCATTAATTTCCATTTAAAAAGTTGAATTTTAATGTTTCATTTCAAAGTAATACAGAAGCATGAACCTAATTAATTCAGAAAAATTCATAATATTACACATAAATTTATAACACATATCACATGCATACAACAATATGTACATTATTCAAAAATTTTAAAGTACACATGTAACAACTTTTCATACTTCAAGTTCTAATCAAGGTTTCAAAAAATTTTCAGATTTTTTAGAAAACAAAAATGGAATTATATTAATTATAGTATCACATTATTATTAAATGGAATTATATTAAATTATGGTTTCATGAAAGGAAAAGAGAGACTCTACTGCTAGATTTCATTTAACTTTGGAGAAAAGGGAGAACAGCTTAATATTTTTTCACCAGAGTTATTTATTTTACATTCACAATTTTAATTCTAATCAAGAATTACTCAGCTTTCAAACAAAATGCTTATCATAACCTCCTGGATTTATTACTATTATACTATACTGAATAAAATCTAAATTATTCTATACTGAATAAAACTCAAATTACAATTTTCAACGAATAAATTATGCAGTTTTAGAAATGAATCACCCTTTTAGAAAATGAAAACTGTTGAATTGTTGAATTACAATCCACAGGTCATGAAGTTTATGGTTTATGACATATGCATCTTCATTAGTTCAATAATGAAAATAGGCCAATGAAGAATATATATTGACAATTACATTCCTATACATTTCTACACCACAAAATGCAACACATTTGTCAGCTACTTGGGATAACAAATGAGATTTAATGTGGAAGCAGAATTTTCCCCCTTTAAAATGTAAAAGATAATAAGTACACTGCATTAGAAACACTACTGCTTCTAAAGCTGATATTATTTAAGAAATAATATGGAACAATCCCCTTTCCTTGTGTCAGATAAATTCCCATTGATGATAATGATAAAATAGATATTTTCTAAAATAAGCAAACCTTTAAAACATTTCAATTCTGACCATACTTAATAACATCTGCAAAATTTTAAATTTTAAGTTTATTTTATTATAATAAACTTAATAAAACCTGTGCTACCCTGGCATTAATTATAAGAAATTTAAAATGAAACATCATTGACTCTGTACCTGATTTGACACTCCAATTTAAGTTTACTATTCAATATAATAATAATTTCCACGATAAAGTTAAAAGTGTATAAAATACATCAAATCATAAAAGAGGGTGATATGGCCTTTTTTAGTGACACTGAATTTTTTTTCATAAGCTTATGCAGGTATTTACAAGTTAAAATGCACAACAGATAAATCCATATGTACATATAATATACACAGATGTAAATACTATTCATATACTTTGAATTCACTACTTTTTAAAAAATAATTTATAAGAATTTACAAATCAATAACTTGCAAATACATATACTAATATGATGATATTTTAAATAATAATTTTTTCTGAATATTCTAACACACAACAACACAGAAAATCATACACTCTACAAAATCAAATTATTCAATTAGTTACTGATAGAAAAAATAAGGTTGCATGAAATCAAATTGGAAATTATGAAATAATATTATAGATAAATTCTGAAATATTTACATTTATACAATGTGCAATATACATATATAAAATACTATCATGTTCATAATAATGAAGACTATTTCCTTCTTAAAACTATTTTCTCTTAATATCACAATAGCAGAGTAAATCTATTTACAATATTCAGCAAGTTAATAATATAACCACGTATTCAGGATTATAAATATAAAGGGACTCCATTCATTAAAATTAATATTAAGCTCAATATACTGGACTTTGAGCACTTAACATAATCCAGCAGATATAAATGCAAGATCTGTAAGCATTAAAGGAAAATTAGATATATCAACTCGGTTTAAACAGTAAAAAGAAGCACCATGCTTTATACTTTTAAATATAATTTATCCTTGCATAGTTTACACTTTCACTAAAAGATTTACAGAATAAAATTCAAGACTTATCTCTCAAGAATAACAGGGAATGCGAACCTGTATCCTACTAACAAAACTGTATATATTAATATGGAATCAGTTTTGGAAGGGAAATAATACTATTTAACAGTATAATTCACTTAATCTCTACATACATATTATTCAACAAATCAGCTATTATCTAAAGATATATATTTCTTATGCAGAATAAATATTTGACAAATATTTATGCTGCCTACGAACTGACAAATGAGTTTTATATTAAATGTAAAACACATTTCAATGCAGCTTTCAATTTAAAAGTCCAGATAAACTAATCTACTCTCCATATAAAACAGATAAATGTAGAAGGGAAAATGTTCTAAAAAGATATATATTATTAACAGGCTTTCAAAATTTTTTTTAATTACTTAAATCACTGATTTTAGCATCTGACTAAAATCACACAGCTGTTTTAAGAAGCATTCAAAACAACATTCTTAATTGTTAGTCAAAATACATTACTATCATTTCTATGCCATTCCTAGAATCAATGTAAATTTTAAAAACTTTAAAAATATTGCACATGCTCATGAAAATAATTAGTGAATTGCATTCCAATGTACTTTACCGTGTACAAATTTAACTTTCATGTTAAATTCAAGAAAATAAAATAATCCTCGCCAATCAGCTATTTTCTCCATCAAATGTTATCTGCCCCCCCTAAAAAAATAGAGAGAAGGCAAAATTTAAAAAAACACTTATTAAGCATTAGTTTGTATTTTCTCCAAATTTAGATTTATGCCCCCCCCAAAGGTAATAAAGTATTTTTTATTTAAAATCTACTGTTGATTACTATTTAACTGTTTGATTGTTATAGCCAAAAATTTCATTATTGAGTTGTTGGGCTTATCATAAGAATAACTATCTTTAGATTGTTTGAGTTCTTTATTTTAATTATTATGCAATGATGGAGATGATTTTTAAAGGGTATTTACTTCTTTTCAATAAAATGTTAATTCAGACTAAATCTGCAACAAAAATTATACTCAAAAAAATATATCCAGTTTGCTAGAATCTGCCTAAAATCAATTTGATTTCAGATTCTATATATTGGTATTAAATTAAAAACAAAAAAAATCATACAGTGAAACTTAGCATCACTATGAACTAAAAATCAATAATTAAAAAAATCAAATCAATATTATTATTTTTATTGGATATAAATCAATAATTATTATAATCTAATAATTATTTAAATCAATAATATTATAATCTAATAAAAATAAACCAATAATTAATTTTTAAAAATAAGAGCTTTTTTTATTCTCTTTTAGATATAAGTATTGAAAGACATAACCGGGGTGGTTTAATTTTTTCCTGCAAAAAATTCAAGTTTCATTATCTTATGAACTTAAAAATTATTCTGCTTTTAATATAAGTAACTTTCACTAGGTTGTTATTTGAACTGTTAACATATATTTATTACACTTAATTTATTAGTTAAAGTAAATTAACTATATTAAACCTTTTTTTAAATCCTAGGAACACACCAATCTGGACATGAATAAATACAATATATAAGTAAACAAAATTAATGCATGGGAGGGGGAACTCCATAATGATTAAAAAGTGAAATTTTGCACTTGACACTGCTTATAAACAATGAGTTGAAAATTAAAAACCTAATAATGAAACATTCCTAAATAAAATAAAAGCAGATTTTCCAGTCTAATTTTATTGCAAGGAAGACTCCAAACCACTAATGAATTACTGGATGAAAATAAGAATCATAGGAAAATTTTCCTTTCTTACATCTTTAAAGCATTTATTGTTATTACAAGGTTAATCTTTTATGCCGAAAAAAAAAATTAGGCTGAATTGTACAACGCGTGCTTATTTTCACTTTCAATTATAAATCTCTTAATATCTTACAATAGTTCTACAAAATAGGTTTTAACCCGTCAGCACACGCGCTGGGGTAAAATCCACCCCACGTGTATTCTTTCTTTAGAAAATAAGGGAAAGTTGTACGTGACCTTTCTAATACTTCCTGTACTTTTCAAGGTCAAGGTTAGGAAGGGGTCATCCAGAGGAATTTTTCCGCGGAAGAAATGTGAAATGGGATTGTAGCTACCCCGCGTGTGTGCTAAGGTTTCACTTCTAGAGAGATTTTCATTGAGATGAGTGCGTACGAGCGAGAACAGCAACGACGACTGCGGGATCTTCTCGCAAGTGTTGAAACTGATAGTGAAATTGAAGATTCTGATTCTGACAGTGATAATATTTCTCAAAGTGCTCATGAAACTGATTCCGACCAGGAATGTGATAATTCACATGATTTAGGGAGCATATCTTCTATGGTTTCAGATGATTTTTATATAGGAAAAGACGGAACAAAGTGAGTAAAAAAGTCCTCATAAAAATGTTTGGACACGGCAGCATAAAATAGTGATACATTTACCTGGTGTTAAGAAAAGCTTCAGAAATTTGAAAATGCCAGCTGAGTGTTTATTGCAAATTTTTGATGATGAAATAATGGAAAATTTAGTGAAATCCACAAATATTTACATTTCATCAATAAAAAGCAAATTCTCTAGAGAACATGATGCATAAGACACAAACGTAGCTGAACTGAAAGCAATGTTTGAACTATTATATTACGCCGGAGTGCTGAGAGCAGCACATCTCAACGCAAAAGATTTGTGGTCAACTGACGGAAGCGGAATAACCATTTTTCAAACAACAATGTCTATCAACCGATTCTACTTCCTGTTGAAGTGTATTAGATTTGATGACTTAAATTCAAGAGCACAGCGAAAAATGATGGATAGACTTGCACCCATTAGAAATGTTTTTGAAAAATTTATCAAAGCATACAAAACATATATTCTTTACCTGAATATTGTACTATAGACGAAAAATTAGAGCCCTTTCGAGGAAGGTGTCAATTTAGACAATATATAAAAAGTAAGCTCGCAAAATATGGAATAAAAATTTTTGCTTTGTGCGATTCTCGCACTTTCTACACATACAACCTAGAAATTTATGCAAGTCAGCAACCTGTCGGTCCATATAGACAATCAAATGCGGCACTGGATATTGTACAAAGACTTATTGCACCCATAAGTGGCACAGGAAGAAACATAACTATGGACAATTGGTACATGAGCATTCCTTCGGCCAATGAATTATTAAAAAATCACAAATTGACATGCGTTGGAACTCTTCGAAAAGATAAGCGTGAAACTCCACAAGAATTTCCGCCAAATAAAAATAGGCCCCTGTACTCTTCACTTTTTGGGTTCAGAGCTAAAGAATTAACTCTTACATCATATGTTCCAAAAAAGAATAAATCAGTTCTTGTTCTATCATCCATGCATGAGGATAATCAAATTGATCTATTGTCAAAAGAGCAGCTCAAGCCCGAAATAACTTTTTACAACTCTACAAAAGGTGGTGTTGATACTGTAGATGAGTTATGTGGAAATAAATTACTCAGTTTCAAGAAAATGCAACCGTTGGCCTCTTAACGGTATTTTTCGGACTAATGAATATTGCAGGTATAAATGCTTTTATTATTCATAAATCAAATAATGATCAAGTAAATATGAACCAAAGAGCTTTTCTCAAAGATTTAGCATTACAGCTTGTAAAAGAACATCTCCTAAGAAGGGCTGAAATTCCATCTCTTTCGAAGGAACTCAAGACTGGTGTAAAAAGGTTGGCAGGAATAGAAGATGCAGCAGATCTTCAACCTAAGAAATTCCAAAAAAGGACTTCAGGACACTGTGATATATGCCCCAGAAGGACGATCGCAAAACCTCTGTACCTTGTACAAATTGCAACAAATTGGTTTGTAAAATACATGTTGTAACACTATGTGAGGACTGTTCAAAACAAGATAGTTGCAATAATTAAAATCAGGTAAGAGAAAAAACCTATGAGCTTTATTTTTTTTAAAACATTTGTATTTAGGAATCTATTCTTTCATTTGTATAATTAATTGTATGACATTATATTAGATTTATTGAAAAAGCTAGTAAGAATGCGGGCTTTTAATATCCCTATAGTGCTTTATCAAAAAACACCCTTTAAATAAACTCTTTAAAAGTTTAAAAGATAAGTACATATTAAATTGATTTTTCTAATTAAGAAATCATATAAATGCGTCTTAAATAAATTAGTAATTTTGTATAAATTTCGATTTTTATGGCTTACTTTAGGTAAGTAATATTGAAAATGCATTTACTCATGCGTTGGGGTAAAAATTCCGAGCAACAAACACTGGGGTAAAATTTGTCCCACACGTGTGCTGAAGGGTTAAATTATAGCAAAAGTACTGATGTTAGCCTATTATAAATTTTTTTCTATAACTTTCAACCTAACCAGAAAGATATTCATCTGTTAAATTTGATTTAATTGTGGTATTTTCATTACATAGGTGATATCAGTCAAAAAGTTACAAGTGGATGTTTTTCAAAACGGTAATTTAAGAGTGTAGTTACATTTTTAAAGAAAAAATAAATCCCTATACAAAACAGAAACAACTGCTACCTAATGGTTGTTAACATACACTGATCAACAAAATCATTATGACCATCCCAACACTTTTCAATGAACTCATCTGGATGATATAGAGGGTATGTTATTAAGTGGAAATGGTATTTAACTGCTCCTGGAGAAGGCAAGGAATCATTCTTGCATATACTTTTGCAAGTGATGTGAAAGGCTGGTCATCCAACTGAATTTGATAGAGGGCTGATTGAAATGGCCTGAAGACAAGGAACGAGCACCTCCAAATCTGCACGACTGGTAAGTTGTTCACGATCTGCCACTATTAGTATTTATGCAAAGTGGATAAATGATAATAAAACCAGCAGTGGACATTCATGCATCATTGAAGAAAAAGGACGCTTGGTACAGCAAAATCGACGTCAGACAGTGGCTCAACTGACAGCCCAATACAATACAGGTCCAAGTATGGAACTGGGCAGAAGATGTTCCACTTCTGTGCCTCTGTTGACCAAGTGCCATTGTCATCTATACCTACAGTAGGCCAGAGAATATCAAGACTGGACCATGAATAAGTGGAAGACAGTTGCTTATTCGAATGAATTACGATTTCTCATTGATCACATCGATGGTCGTATCAGAGTATACTGTCTTCCAGGTGAACATTTGCTCCCCGCTGTACTCGGTCTGGTGGTGGCGGTATTATGCTTTGGGGTACGTTCTCATGGGCAGCTCTGGACACTTATTTGAACAGACCATGAAAGCTGCAGACTACCTGAACATAACTGTGGATCAATGGCCTGGCCACCTAACTCCCCATATTTTAATCTGATAGAGCACATTTGGGATGTCATGGAGTGGCAGCTCAGAATTCAAACACCACCATGTCAGAATATCTCATCTTTGCATGACCATTGCTGAAATTTTGGTACAACATCTCTCCAGTTCATCTACCAAGAACTTGTGGTATCCATGCCAAAATGGGTTGCAGCTGTTTTGCAGGCCAAAGGTCACACAATGTGCTACTGAGTAGGTGGTCATAATGTTTTGGCATTTCAGTGTAGTTAATGTAACTAAAACATAACCATTTTTGAAAAAATAAATACTAAACAAATTTTATCACTTTAGTCCAATTAAGCATAAATACTGCATTAATTTTCCATTTATTGTATATTTTATAGTAGCCTATTAAAAATGAAAAAATCAAATATAATTTTACTAATGTACAAGCTACGTCATTATTTAAACACTTCTAAAATATGCAAGCTATGAAGCTTTTATTTTTAAAATCTTAATTCAAAGTGAGAAAAACAAATACCATATTTACTCACATAATCCCCTCCAGTGTTTTAATACAAGGTGTTCTGAGAATTTTTTTAAGTATTCATATAATTTTCTTCTTTCTTAAGGCATTTATAATGCCTGCTCCCCTAAATTTTAAAATGGATTCGTCCACTTAATAATCACTTTCTCTTACTAATTGATTTGCGCATGGATTTTAGATGCATGGGATCTGATTGATAAAACAATGATTGTGAAGAGCTGCAAGAAAACAGAGATATTTATCATTTTGATGGTTATGAAGATCATAATATGTGGAAAGACAAACTGAACGCTGACGAAAACAATGGCATCAATGATTATGGTAATGACTTAAAGATATAGCAGACAATATAATGAGCAATTCCCGCAGCATTAAATGATTTCAGGCTCCCATAGCAGAGGTGGGTAATACAAGTGAGCAAGCTTCAAGATACAGGGAAGTAGAAATAAAAGTATCTTATTAGATTGTCATGCCTTTACTATTACGTATTCTTTCTAAATTTCTTTTAAATAAATAGTATTGCGATAACTGTTTATAGTTTGCACATTAATACTTTACATTTGTTATGCTCTTTCTGTAATTACATCCTTAAAAATTAAAATTTTCACATAATTTTCCCCTCTCGATTTTTGAACAATAAAATTAGTAAAAAAGGAGGGAGAATACATGAGTGAATATGGTACATAGCATTAATACTCAAATTATCTGAATATAATTATTTAAAAAATAAATACAATAAAAATAATACAAAATTTTCTGCAAAAATGTACTATATACAAATATTAATTTCATAGTAAAATAAAATCAATAACATAATTCATTTACCCAAAAAAATGTATTACTTTTAATAACACTAACTTTGAAATTTTTGTCTATTATATGCAATTTTAACACAGTTTTAAATACTCTTGTAAATGACTAAAAATACAATTCCTAATTAGCAGAAAAGGTGACTATCATAAACTTGCATAACTACAATAATTTTATTTATCAAATCAACAACAAGCTTTCTACAAGGAACATACATTTTGATGAGTTAAATATTTTTAGCAACACAGAACAAAATCCTTACAAAATCAAAGCTGCATATCAACTCCTTTCTCTATCTAAATGCTGCTTTATAAAATAAAAACATATTTTCTTATTATCTTATTATTATCTGCATAGATTTCTTATTATTATCTGCATAGATAACTAAAGAATCTATGCAAATATTTCTGTAAATATTTGCATAGATTCTTTAATCATACCAAGTATCATATGTAAACAGTAATATTCTTGAAAACATAAATGATAAAAAGCAACCCCGAGCCTAACGCTAGAGTATATGTTGTCTGCCACCTAAAAAGACATATAAGCTAAGCAGTTTAAACACATAAGCACATAATTTTAATACATAAACAAATGCTCAGTACCATTTAAGTTTTCAAGTCAAATTTTAATGAAACTCAGAACATTATAAAAATACAGAAAGGGTTGCTTTTTAAAATTTACAATTTACATGCCAAGTGAAGAAAATAAGCAATATTTTTTACTTATTTCATATCAGATCAGGGTTTTAGATATCACTGGTTAGAAGTAAAAATTAAAATCATGTTCATAACTTTTGATGCAATTAGAAATATTTTGAGAATATTAAAATGCAGTCTTTAGTAAAAATCTAAAACAAAAATATATCGCACATATAATTTTATGGGGGGTATCCTTTAAAACAAAAATCTGTAAACTGTACCAATTATTTTTAGAAATCTTAATTTTAAAGAGATAATATACACTAAATTAAATAAATTAACACTATAACATTTTTAGTGTAGAAAATTATAATTTTGCTTTATTTAATATTTTACTTCACTTTCAGTGTACATTGTTTACCAAATTTTAATAATTGTTTACCAAGTTTCTTAAGTTTTGTTAGATAAAATTTAAATTGCAAATAAAGGAAAAAATATCAAACATTAATCATGACAATACAAAATCTACCATGCAGATTTGAGACAGTAAAGATTATATTGCAAATTTAATTAACTTTAAATGTCAATAAAGAAATTCTGACAATATACTACAATGTTTATGAACAATATTTTTTCCTTCTTTGGCTTTCTTTGATAAATTTTATATAAAATATGGAATAATCAGCATTATTAATCTAAGATTTTTTATTCTTCCTTATATATAAATACATAATTAAATTATATTAAATACTAAAACCATAACCTTCCAAAGTTTTACAAAATGCAATAGAAATATACATTTCTATTCCCGCAATATGGGAGGGGACTAAGTCATTTAAGCATATTTTATAAAATTTAAGTATGAAAAAAGAAACTTTAATAAATATACCTTAATAGAAATAATGAATACATATAACTGTACTCTGATCTTGAAAATTAAATTACAATATTAGAAGCTAAGCTATAAACATCTACAATAAAGAAGGCTGAATGTGTGAAACATTCTAATAATATTGCAAATATAAGAATCAGAATGAGAGAAAAACAACTGCAATGAAAGTTTCTTTAAATTATTTTTACTGAATAAATGGTGGTGGGGGGGATTGAAAGTTCAGCTCATCAGGTTCAACTTCTAATACATATTAATTAAAAAAATTCTTTATTACATGTCCTATCACACAAAATTCATTCTATCATTATCAGTTTTCCCAATAGTCAGTAATATTTTCAAATACAACACATTAAAGAAATATATATTATAGATTAATTAAAGGAAAGATTCCAAATATGCCATATATTACTTGATTCACTAGTTTTCTGAATTGCATAGACTTTTACTACATTTTACTCCAAAATTCTATAACTTCTATCTACAGCAGAACTGTATATTCAAAAAAAATATTTTTGTGAAAAACAAAATTTTCTTTCATCACATGAATTGCATAGCAGTACCTTGATTTATCACATCATCCATAAATGCTAGAGAAATGGGACATGAATAAAGAGGGTAAAGATTATCTCTTAACATGGTATTTGTTTTATTGCTTCATACATCAATTTTAAATTATACAATATATGACCAGTCTTGCAAAAACTAATATTTGTAATGAAATATATATACATATATATATCAAATATGATATTTGAACTTCTAAATATTAAGCATGATAATACAAAAAATAAAATTATTACACAATATCATCTACATCATATGCTATACTTTAAAATGACATATCCAACTATAAAATATCTCATCCTTTCTAGGTCATATATTGCATTTTAAATTTATATTTTCCATTGATGGTAGATTTAAAGTGACATTTTACTTGCTGCTAACTCACTTTACTATGGAATACAACTGTATGCATATTATGCTGCAGTTAGCTAATCAAAGATTTTCCATGTTAGCATGGCAAATCTTTAAAATTTCATCTTGGGTTTAAAATACTAAGAAATATCAGTACTAGTGAAACTGATCCAGAAAAAAATACAACATTAAAGCAATTTTTAAAATTTCAAGTTAAAAGTATAAAAGAAATACAGCTCATAACATTAGTAGATTTTAAAAACATATATGTATTCATAAATTAATGAATTTTGGGGTAACTCCTTGCATATTTTACAGAAAGGCCAATAAATGTGTTAAAATCACAGAAAAATAATTTGAATTTAATGAATTTAAGCTATGCATGCAACCAGGTTACACATATACACTGAATGTGTATTATCTTCTTTGGGGGGGAAAGCTAAACAAATATTGAAGGTCATCAAAAATCAAAATAATTTTTAAATCAGCTACCTTAAAAAAATTCATATTTTAATAACATTACTGATTTCCATTATTTCACTTTTAAGAAAAAGATAAATTACTTATTTATTAACTCAAAAATATCATAAAATTAAATATTGATTGTATCATTTTAAAATGTAACTTATTCATCATCTATAATATTCTGAAAAAGGCTTTTAAGAATATTGAAAGACATTAATTTTTAACAGTATCTACATCTGAATAATGGAGGAAGTTAAAATATTCTGTAATACAGACATTATTAGGAAAATATCTTACATTAAAATTATAAAAACTCATAAATTATGCTTATAAAAATGATATATTCTCAAACCAAGTCTTCTGAAAAATGCTATAAATAATACAGACGAATTTTGATACTGAGTAATTTGAAGAAGCAATGTAATAATTAGAGAATAAGCAATGTAAACAACAAAAATTTCAAACATGAAAATCTAATGATATAGTAGAATTCTTCATGGGGGGAATGAAGAGATATATATATAATTAACTATAAATCAAGGCTATAATATTTATAAATATGGCTAATATAAGTATCATATTAATGATATTCATTACAGCTAAAATAATAAATACCAGGTGCAATGTCATTAAAAAATTATACAAATTCAGGAAAAAAGTCTTTGTGTACTGGAATTTGGAGCTGAGGTATTCCATTTATTCTAGCAGAGGAATGTACATTTTCAACAGAATGCCAAAAAAGAACTGCCTGATAACCAGAACATGCTGCATGTTTTATCAGTTTAAAGGTACTAGATGTCAGGGTAAAATGAAACACTAAAGGTTGATTAAATATAAGTGATGAAATGATGGACAAAATGAAGCAAAGTCTCGAATGCAGATCATACAAAATAACAGTTATAATAAGTTAAGAATTTAAAATTTTGATGCGAATTTGACTATCTTCACAACAGACTTCCAAACCTTCTGATATAATGTCATACACTTTCATCTTTTAAGGACTTATTAAAGACCCTGTTTCTATACCCACACTGCCAAAAACATTCACACAGCTCAAGAATTACAACAATGCTGTTGACAAGGAAACGCTACTAAAGTTATGTACCAAATTTGACTACCATCTGAAAGTTATGTACCAGATTCAACTATCATTTGAATGAAAGCTACGACATAGCTATGGAAGTTATGTACCAATTTCAACTACCATTTGAATGAAAGTTGTGCAACACACAGGCATTATATGAAGAAAGCTTCATGAATTTCTTTTTCTGAATCAATATTGTTATGAAATACTTTTGAATATAGAGTGGTTTGAAATGCAATGAATCATTTAGAACAGCCTTGCATAATAAATAAAGTTTTTAAAAATTCACTAATGAAATGAGCATGTCTCTATGTTCTATGCCCCATACTTCTTTATATAAAACTAAGTTTAGTATAAAAACACATAATAGATATAAATCATATTAAAACCAATATTTAATTCAAACATAGCTCCTGTGCTTAAATAATCACATATATGGTGTGACTGTGTGATATAATGAAATTACTTTTTAAAAAAAATCGAATAAATTAATCAAATCATTTAAAACTTTACCCGCCAAAGTTAACATAACAGTAGGAAAAGTAACAACCTTATGTTTGGTGTAGATTTTAGTTGACACTCTTGAGTTTGAGGACAAACACAAGTCCGTCTTCACCAGGAGCAAAGAAATCTGATGAAGAGGGATCTGTACCTGTTTTTCCTTGAAATCAATGGAGTCCTGACTAAACTCTATGCTAAACAACAAGGTTGTTACTTAAGTAATTTCATGCTATATATATATATATATATATTTAGCATAATACACAGATAATATATATATATATATATGTCAGAGAGAAATACAGCACAGATATACAAGAAAATTATTCACGAAATAACACATGACAAAAACATTCCAAATATTAGGATTTTAGGTCATACTGGGATTTTAAAATTTATAATCTATCTGTGAGAGACTTAAAAAATAAGTAACAGAGTTTCCATTTATAAAACCATCAGATTTAAGCAAGTTAAGTAACTTGTTAAAGTTAAGTAACTTAAGCAAGTTAACAATGTATTAAGTTTGTTCTTTTAAGAAAAATATTCAAAAAATTCAAAAAAACAAAAAATTCAAATTAAAATGTAAACAAAATTATGTATACTTGAGATACAAAATGGCATGGCTAAATCATTGAATTAATTTACACAAGAGACCAATCACAGAGAGAAGCTGTAATGTAAAATACAACAGTATATTTTTAAAAATGCTATATTAGTCAGCTGAAAGTATTAAGAAGGACAAATTGATTAAAGGGATAGCTTTTGCCTGAAATAAATATGGCTATCTTATCCAGCATTTCTGCTTGCAGCTAATTATAATTTGCACTATACTGCCACATAACAATGCAAATCCTTATCAATAGATAATTTATTAATTTTATGACAAATTTTGTATACTGTAGAATTAAAATTTATTTTATGACATTTTGGTTTAAAAGAACAATTGATTCTGAATGACAATACTTTTGCAGTATTCCTTAGAATAAATCTTTTATAATATTTTATTTACAAAGATATGAAATATGCTTGAGAATTTTTTTAATTATACAGACAAAATTAATCCTTTTAACTTGCTATTAAAATACTATTTAAACATGATAGTTATCTATTTACAAGTCTTATAAAATTCACTTAATTGCATATCTAGCTAGGGCGTGATGGGGACCCGGTCAAAGAGACCACAGCTTTTTTAATTTATCTATTTACTGTCCTGGCCTTAATACATCATAGAATATATATAAACCTGTCATAGATTTCTAACCCTTTTCTGCCAGCCAAAGAGTTTCACCAATGAGACATTTAGGATGGAAAATAATACAAAAGGTTTTACCTTATAAGATGGCAAAATTTTGATGTTAAGTGTTCTTTTTGTGTGATTATAGGTTTAATTATTGCTTATTAGAGCAATAATGAATTTTAAATTCACTCCTTCCTTTTAAAGAATTATGATTTAAAGAACTAAAATGTTAATACTGTTTTTAAAAAGTTATTCTTATTATGATAAATTAAATTGCAAATACTCCTTTACAAACTAAGAAAAATATTTCATTACACAAAATTTGACACAGCCTTTTACTCCACATAAAAACATGATTCTCTCATTACACACTTTGATGGAGTAAGGGGCATATGATACAGTTCAAAGCAATGATCAATGCATTATTCATATCACTGCACTCTTATATTCATAACAGCTGCCAGCTCTGCCCTCCTTTTTTCTTTCATATAATAACACAGAAAAACTCTACTAATACTTTTCCCTAAATAATATTGCACTTCAACTCTTGTACTGTACTTTCTGAACTGTAACTGATTCTTTCATTAGTATTTTACTACAGTAACAGAAATATCTTCCTGTCCCAAATGAACTTTCTTGATAGACAGATTAACTGAACTATTGGTTTCTGACACTATATATTACAGATGGCAGAAGAGAAACCTACTGCAGTGCTTCATTCAGAGATGAACATTTGCTTAGTACGTAGAAACATTACATTATTTTGGAAGAAGACATGAAAAATGAGCAATGTCCTTGCCGGGACTCGAACCTGAACCTTTAGGTTATGCTCCGAGTTTGCTAACTGTTACACCATGAAGGCATGCAGATAGGAGGGAGAAAATAAGTATTTTTAACATATTTGTAATTTTACCCGAAAGCAAACATTTGAAATGCTTTACATCTACCACAAAAGATAAGAAATGCTAGTTACTACCCATAAGCCATCTTTTAAAGTAAAATTTCCCTTTTTTTCCCTTAAATCCCTTTTTCACACATTACACGTTCTTCATCCTTCACAGTAAATTCCCACTGGATTCTTTGAGCGGCGGCCATCTACAAATGTTAAATCCATAATAAAGGAAACGTAATGGTTTGAAAGTAAAACATGAAAGCTAAAACAAGAGCCTGCACTAATAGCTTTTACTTTGTAAAAATATATTTTATGCTTATGTAAGGTTAAATTGCATAGATAATCTAACCATTCCTTATATGATGAAAAGGACCAGAACAGTAATACAACAGTGCACTTATAAGCAAAGTTTTTATATTTACAGTAATTCATGTAGCAATTTTTATTTACAACATACTATATATACACTAAAAATAAAGTCACTAAAACAAATGGAGAAAGAACAATTTGCATGACTTTCTTCAAGTTTATTAGTTAAATTACAATTAACTATATTCACATATTTTACATATTTTTCAAGTAATAAAAAATTTATTGTTATGATACAATAACCATTTGTGCATTAGCATAACATAACATATTTTTCTTGTAACATTCTAAGCTGCACAGAGGTACACCAGTTTTAGAACATGAATATTTTTTCTTATTTTCACAGCCTTTTACTCCACATAAAATAACAGGTGGAGCCCTGCAAGAAAATAATGTAATTAACTGCAGAAAAAGTACATAATATAAAAGGATTCAATTATAATGAAAATCTTGAATGGATCTTAATTGCTTTCATAAAAAAATTAAAAGTGGTTAAAATCTTACACAATGATTTTAATATTAATTATGCAATTATGCATTACATATATGCAGGTAGCAGGCAGAAATGCAAAGAAAGACAGGTATATATAAATAGCCAATAATGAAGGGGGGATTGTATTTTTTTAATCCTTCATGCCTGGCTACTTAAATATGAATACTTTCTTTTGCATTTCTTTTCTTTTCCCTTGTTTCTATTTCATTTAGAAATGGCAATGTAAAAAGTAAGTGATTATAAAACAATACTTAATAATCATACAGAACTTCAGAGGTTTCGAACACTTTGCAAAGTACCAAGAATGCTTCATTACCAATAAACAAAAGTATTCAAAGAAATCAAAAGCTATTCTTTTCTATTTATTGCATTATTTATTGCAGAATATTTCATGTTTCTTTGTTTTCTAAGCATCTGTTTTATAATAACTTGTTTTAAAACTTTAGGATTATTCTAATTTGGGAAGGTTGCCCTTTCTAAATTATGTGTATTTACTTCTCCTAAAGCCCGACCTTCATCAAATTTTACAAAATTTATACATGGATGTAATTTTTAATTATTGGAGAATAATAAATAATATAAGTAATTGGAATTTTTATTCTAAAGGAATGCATATAAAGTTTAATTTTATTTTTTAAATCCTCCTACACCCACAATGTTGAGTCAGCTTTTCTGCGTATTATTCAGAGAAATTCTCAAGCTTAAAATATGTGTTTTGGATCAAAATTTGAGAAAATAAGCTTCTAATCTATGCAACAAGCTTTTTTCAAATGCTTGCAGAAAGTTCATTGATCTTCATTCTTTTATAAAAAGGCTTCAACTTTTTTACATATGCCTACTTACTGGAAAAGAATAGAGATGGACATGTACTGAAAGTTGTGTTTCTTACTCTAAGTTTTAAAGGCTGAAATCTGTTCCCAATTAAACATTTCATTTAAAATAATTGTTACCTAAATTCAATACTTGTGCATAACAGACACATTAATGGAATATTTCAATAATTTAACAAAATGAAAGAAATTTTGTTCAGTTACAGACATACAGTAAAGACATTTATAACATTACATACTCTTTTGCTGCCTGTGGCTTTAATGGATACTGAAAACCTGGCGGAAATGAAAGTGAACGGCCTTTAATTTCATGATCTATGTATTTCACTTTTGGAACATCTGACTTCTTCACTGTTTTCTATATTAAAAAAGAAAAATAAAAACATGGTTAGCATTTTGACATTTTACTAAAACAGTGATATTTAAGTGACCAAAGCTGCATTCGTTACTGGTTTCTAAAATCTCGGGGGAAAAAAATCTATAAAGAAGAAAAGACGAAACAAAATCTACTCAGCAGCTCTAAAAGTGCTGATGCATAAAAAAAAATTACAGAAGTTAAATATATATCATACCTTCACTCCTTTAGGTTTGTCAGATTTTTTCAAAAGTCTTTCTATAGTTTGTTTCTAGAAGTTTAAAAAGAAAGATACAATTTTCTGTAAGGCATGATAAACATGAATAAAAACATTTAAACAAAAACTTCATTCAATGGAAAGAAAATTATTCAAAAGTAGGAAAAAATGAAAACATTAATACAACAATAATTCCAAATACTAATTTTTGCAATTATTTTCATTATAAAGAGCAAAAACTGTTAGAACTTTGCATATTATCAAAATATTTATAAAATTATTTCAAACATGACATTGAATTACAATTAACAATTAGTGACTGCCAACCGAAATGCAATTCATTATTTGTATATTACATTCTCAAATGTCTTTACCATATAAATTAAATAATTAAAATTTAAGCAAAGTTAAACATAACTGTCAGGTGCAGAAAACTATTCTAATAATATAAAACAAAATACTATACTTTCATTACTTGAAAATTGATAACTTGAAATTTTTGACACTTTATATTTCCTCTAGAGCAGAGGTTCTTAACCAACTTAATAAATGTTTTGTTTTTCAAAAATTTTGTATTAAGTTCTTGTGGAAGTTTTTAGTTCATTGATTTTTATTAAATACATGTAATTAAATATCATGTAAATAAAATGTACTCTAATACACTTAATTTTGTTGAATATACGTTTTTTCGCAATATCCTTTAACACGAAATTCTTTTAACACGAAAAAATATTTCAGTACCCTCAGTTTCATGTTAAACGATTTTCACTGTATTTTCATGTTATGATTCAAAACCACTAGATGAATTTTCTATGTGCGTGGGATATTTAATGCCAAATTCCTTATCGGTTTTTATAATTAAGCAACTAAGTTTGAGGTTATTTTCTGTTTTTACTACAACTACATATGACAGTCAAATTTCTTCCTGAAATTTTGCACTTGCATGTACATAAATTTAAATAGTTCTTACTTGCATGTACTTGCATATTACACTTGCATGTACATAAATTTAAATAGTTCATATGTTTAATTTAATTAAATAAAGAAAATCTAGATACCTTATCTTTCTCTCGCTTTTCTTCAGCTTGTTCCTTTCTTTTCTTAGCTTTCATAATTTTTTTCTGAATCATTTCTTCACTTAAAACTTTAGTTTCAGGAACTAGAAAAATGAGTTTTCTTTATTTTTTAAAAACAGATATGCTTCCAAAAATTTAGCATTATATTGATTTTAATATCAATATAATACTAAATTACAGTATACACAAGGAAAATATTACACATCTTCCTTATACAAAACAAGCAATTCCTACGTGAAAATCATAAATATTATTGGCAATAGGATCATAAAAAGTTGTAAGCATGTGCTATTCTATCACAAAGCATATTTATTTAGTTATGGCAATTTGTTGTTTTATACCACACAACATATCAACACATTGATTTTAAACTTTTTATAAAATTTTCCTGAGTTTTCTGCCTTTCAACATGTTTAAAACATCTACTTCCTCATTCTTTGTTACTTAGCATAAATGCAATAGAATAAAATATTTTACATTTAAGCATAGTTTCTGCTAAAAAATTTGTAAGATAATATCTAATATTTCAGAGTTTTTTTAATTTAACAATTCAAACTAAATAACATTTATCATAAGAAATACCTTGAACAAGTGGCTGTCATTTTTTCTTTCTACACACCACTTAAAATGTAATACAACTTATATGAATCCAAAATCTGATCACTAAATTATGTGAAATACATTGATCACTAAATTATACTTCAAATACAAAAGAAAATTATGACAAAATTATTACTACCTATCTCTTACCAAAAAAAAAAAAATAATATATATATATATATATAGTTCAAAATCTTTATTCATCTAAACATCAATAATATTCCTTCTCCATATAGATAGTTAATCTTTAAGTTAACAAAAGTCACACAAAAGACTGGAAGTATAAATAAAGAATGCCAACTCAAATAATTAATAAACTACACATAGCAGTGATTTAAAATGCTAACAACGTTACTGAAAATTTTAATTATAGCATTTGACAGGCTTCTCCATTTGGAAAATTTATCCAACAGCTTTTTTGTTTGTCAGAATTGTTCACACATATCAAAATTTAGCAGTGATACAAAATTTGGCTGTGATACTTATTTACCCAGTATGACTGTGAAACGACAATGTTGTTTATCAGCTTCAAGTTTTTCTAAGAGTTTTTTTTTTTTTTTTTTTTTCAAAATATTTTTGGGAGTATAATACTATATCAAGTCCTGTGAATTCTGTGTTCATCTGTACTTTACACTATCATCACAGATATATTGTTCACACATAATTTGAACATTGACAAAGATTAATCTCTCAACCAGCTACTCATTCACAACGTTCTTCTCATCCCATTCATGAATATGATTTTAATTTCAAATAGTAATGATTTTCATAAAATGAAAAATACATTATAAATAGTTATTGAAAGACATAAGAAAATACAACTAATTATTTGCTTTGCTCTTGCACTCCGTCATGCTTAATGTACCAACAACACATTTAATGCTGCTATAATACAAAATAATTTGAAAGCTCTTTATCATTAAATTATAAGTAAAATAAATATGTAGATTTAATAGTGAATCAAAGTATATTAGCAGTATAACTACAACTATTAAATGTATAAGTTAGTTAAAATTATTTTCTTCTGCATTAGTTTGATATAAATTTTCAAATGTAAAACTTCGCATAATTCTCTTCAACTGGAAAGATTAATTGCAGGATACAATACATGATATTTCAATTTTTAGCGCTGCAAATATCAGTATAATATCATAAGAATTTCTGCTTGATTACTTTGTAAAATTTCAGTTATACATACAGTACAAAGTCCGAGATCCGGACGTCCAATATCCGGAATGACCTAAAATCATGAACCTCAAAACCACCATGCTTTACGCATGCGCATTTGATTCCCCCCCCCCATAATTAGAACATCTGGAGAATCTCAATTCTTAATTTCGCTTCAGCACTAAATAAATACCTCGTTATTGAAGAAACAATAATCTCTACATATAATAAAAGAAAGAGTTTGTGTGGCTTTTGTTCGAGCTGCGCGTAAGCTAATAGACCAAAGGCTGTGAAATTTGGTGCATAGGTGCATCTAGACAAGAGCCAGTGCACCTCGAAGCGATTTTTTTTCAAAACTCGAATCAGATTTTTTTTATTTTATTTTTTCGATTTTATCGCATTATTTTGAATAGTTGCATTCTTTTAGAAATGTGGTTTTGGCAACAGTTTTTCATTCAATTGCATACCGGACTGCTGACTGTTGAAAATCAGCACTGTTGCCACTTGGAAAAAATGAGGGTGATAATTCTGTTCAGTTTTTAAATTTAATGTTTCTCTTCAATACTGGACGCTTGTTGAGAGAAGGCAATGGGAAGTTGGTTAAATTATTTATTAGGATAATTAATATTTTTATTAAGGGATATTGCTTATTTCGTTATAATTTTGTTATATGTAATACTTTTTTTTTAATTTGTGTTTTTCTGGTCCAAGGAAGGACTATTGTTTTCATTTTGTGAATTTGTGTTGGTTCACTATAAATGTCCATATTTCACTTTTCAAACTGTTGCTACCAAATGTTAAGAGTCCTGCATTATATTTGAAGAAATTAAATAATGAAAAATCTGCATAAATGGATGTATATTTCTCGCATTGTGTTAAACAACGGTACCTACAGCCATCCAATTTTGAATGGAGTAATCCTACTGCGAATATGGGCATGTGGAAGCCCAAATTTGAAGTTTGTTTTATTATCAATTTCATATTTTGTAACACTTTAACAAATTTTTGATTAACACACTCGAGGATTTCAAAGCAAGCAATGGCAACGTTGTACAGAAAAAACATTTTTATCTCCAGTGCTCGAGACTCTGTACTGGAAGTTTTAAAGATATGCTCAATTTAAAACTATTTTGGGATATTGCTCTTAGAATTGAATTTTATGGATTGTGAAGAATGTCACATTTAATAAATAAAAGTAACAGACAAAATGTTAAAAAAAAAATTGCCTCTTTGGACGTAATTTAAAATAAGAAACCTTTCAGATTTTTATTTTTTTTAGTCCAAAGTGGCTTTGTCCCTGAAGACTATTGGTTTCATTTTGCATTGGTTCACTATAAATGTTCGTTTCACTTTTCAAACTGTTGCCACTAAAACACATTAAGTTCACACTTTCAAACGTTTTTCAACCACTGTTGCCACTAATGTTAGAGTCCTGCTTTATATTTGAAGAAATTATATAATGAAAAATCTGCATAAATGTATATATGTTTCTCACATCTACAACGGTACATAGAGCCATAGAATTTTAAATGACGTAATCCTCCTACAAATATGGGCACGTGGAAGCCGAAATTTGGAATTTGTTTTATTAGCGATTTCATATTTTGTAAAACTTTAATGAATTTTTGATTAACAAACTCAAGGATTTCAAAGCGAGCAATGGCAACATTGTACAGAAAAACAAAAAATATTATCTCCAGCGCAACGAGTCTCTGTATCGGAAATTCTAAATATATGCTCATTTTAAAACTATTTTGCGATATAGCTGTTGAACTGAATTTTATGGTTTAAATGCGGAGAACATGACATTTAATAAATAAATGCAACATACAAAATGTTTAAAACAAATGCCACTTTGGACTTAATTTAAAATCTGAAACATTTCAGATTTTTTCTTTGAATGATGTTGTTCTGCAGAGTACAATTCTGCGCAGTTTTTAAATTTTAACGTTTAGTATTCCCTTCAGGCATTTTGCTTTTGAATTATAATTGATTTGTTTTACACATGAAAACGCCAGAGCTCGTACAGAAGCAGCAGAATTAGGGAAGACAAGATTTTTTGAAATTTAGAGAAGCACCGAGCAGCAAAACTAAAGGATCGAAATCTTTTCAGAATTTAGGATAAGCACTGGGTTCCACAATTTAGGGCCAGCAAAAATTTAGAATGGAGGCAGTTGGTAGCAAAATTTAGAACCCACAGAGACTGCATCAGGCGGTAAGATATCTAGGACCGGCCCTCGATAAGCCCCAAGTATATGTGAGAATTTATTTATTCAGGACTCAGATAAGCCTTAAGCATGTGCAAGAAATAGACATAAGTATTCTAAATAACTAATAAAATCATATACTAAATAACTACAATCAGGCTTAATTGCCTCATTGCGCGATAGAAGCAAGACAAAATTTAGCGGAACCACTTGTCTTTTGTCGCCAATCTCATGACACATAGCCAAATAATGTATAGTAGGTGCTCTTAAGCTATGCTAAAATGATACTTTACTGATTCCAAAGAATTTCAGTCAATATACTGGATTGCGCTGTTCCTTAACTTTCTGATTTGATCCATCTTAATTATTTTTTTCAGGCTGTTTTTATTACAGCAATTTTATGAAAATTAAGGTTTCAACTTTAGATTATGTCGAAAAGAGTTTCTAATTCTGCAGCTGCAACAAGATCTACAAAGCAAAAGCATGCTTCGATGTCCCAAAATTATGCGAGGAGTATGGGCACTGGAAAGTCAACTGCATAACACGTAAAAAAACAGAAAAAGGAACTTTTTGAATTTTTTGTGGATTCCAACACCCCACTCGCACTGAATAACAGAAAATTAATTCATTATGCTAAAAGTGAATATCATGACAAAGTGATGACGGAATGGGTCAGACACCATCGCAGCAAGGGCGGGTCATTGCAGGTCAAATGCTAATGGCTCAAGCCAAAATATTTCATTAAGAAATGAACTTAAAACTTGAGTGCGCATATTCAACAGATTGGTTAACCAAATTTAAAAATCACCACGGTATAAGGCGATTACGAATTTCAGGTAAAAAGCTTCAGCTGGTACTGAAGCTACTGAACTATTTGCAGATGAATTCATTGAACTCATTAATAGTTGAAAGTTATCTCAAGAACAAATTTACAACCCTGATGAAAGTTGTCTTTCCTGGCAATATGTTCCGCAAGATACCTTGGCAACCTCTATAGAAATGGCTCCAACTTGTGCCAAAGATTCCAACATGAGACTAACAATTTTAGCATGCGCAAATGCTGAAGGAACGTACAAGTGTAAACTTTTCGTAATTCAAAAAAATACACGACCTCAAGGAAGGAGTAAAAGGAGTAAAGAGTTTGCCATTATATATCGTACAAATAAAAGAACATGGATCACACAGGTATTAATGAATGATTGATTTGAAAATCATTTCATATCCGGCAACATTTCAATACGGTAGGTTTACCTAATGATGCAAAAATTGTTCTGGTTGTAAACAACTGTTTGGCTTATACTTAAAGTTTTAGTGAAAGATATGTATCCGCATTATTTTTTTCCTCCAAATTGAACATCCATCATTCAGCCTATGAATATCAGAATGGTGCATGCACTGAAATACAAATACAAAATAGCATTTTTAAAATCCATGCTAAATTTCTTGAATAACGGTAAGAGTATTCAAGAATTTTTGAAATATTGTAGCATAAAATCTGCTGTGTGGAGCATCGCAAGATTGTGGGAGGATGTTTCCAGATGCTTTAAAAACTGTTTGGCATAATTTATGGACAGCTATCATATTTCATGGTATGAATGATGATGATAGCTCCAAATTTGAAGGTTTTTGGATATTGCAAACTAAAGATAAAATTTTCTAGTTAATAGATTTTGTAAAGAAATGTGTAGAAGCAGTAAATGAAGACGATATAACAGAAGTTTTTCATTGCAACGACAATGCCCCAATTATCAGTCAATTAAGGGATGGCGAAATCTGTAGTATGGTTCTAGATCCAGAAAATACCACTACCGATAGTGAAATAAAGTTATTAAAAACGAAAAAATTTCGATTGACAATTTAGTCAGAATTCTTGACACAGCAATTACAGACCTTGAGCAATGGTACTTTATGAATGTACAAGAAATTATGTCTGTCAAGAGAATTAAAGCATTAGCATAAAATGTGAAGCAACTTAAACAACTTACATTGAAAAAAATGTTTAATAAAGTAAAGAAATAAATATTAAACTTTTTTTTGTGAATTTTGATACCCTTTAGATCATAAATGCTTCATTATTTCATTAATCATGATTTCATTTTTTTAATTTTATAATTTCTACATGCCATCTTACTAGATTTAAACTGATGATCTAATATCCAAAAAAATCGCCAAATCCAGAATCACTGAAGTCCCGACGAGTTCGGATTTCGGACTTTGTGCTGTAGTTAGAAAGATGTTTATACTTACCAACAGGTACAATTTCTTCTTTCTCTTTTTGAGCCTTACTTTCTAATAAAGAACGCTGAAACAAACAAAATCACATTATTTTAAACATAACCTGAGCAACTACAGTTGTAATTAATCAGCGATTTCCAAATTGCGATAAGTAAAAAAAAAATGACATATGGATGACAATTCAGGTGTAATAATTGTCTTTATATAAATACTTCTTTATACTAGACGTGAATATTTCAAAATGTTTTTTTTTTTTTTTTTTTTTTTTTTCCTAAAAGATCTGAAACATACTATTGTAAAAAGTCCCATATGGCTTATAATTTTCTAGATGATAAGTTTCTTTTTGAAATAATTCGTAGTTAAAAATATATTCATGTATATTAACATGTTGAGCGCCATGTCGGCCATCTGTGGCTGACACTAGATTTTCCGTTTAGGCCGCGTCGACAGCCACTGGCTGACAGCATGTAACATGATATATAACTATAAATTTTACACTGTTTTATGGAATTAATACGTTATTATAGTAAGTAAAGACATGGACTGTTTGTGATATAAAACCTGTAAAACCTCTTCCGATTTACCCAGGGGTAATATTGATGTACTTTTTTTTTCCAATGGCAGATTGTGAACAATTACAAATGTAACCCAGTCCATAATTGATTCATTACAGGATTAATGGATTTCATTGAAACACGGTAAACATAAAAACGGTTCTCCGTTACAGCTATTACAAAATGTGACAACTTTCTTAGTCTTTTTTCTGGCCATTACTCTACCAGCTTCTGTTGCATTTTTTCACATAACATAATTTACAATATTTCTGTACTTCAGAGGCTTTTCCTGGTTTTCTTTGGAGTTTATGTTGTCGTTTTTTAGATATTTTTGCATTTCTGTTCAATGGAATGTTTTCTTTTTCACAACTTGAAAGGGATAGCGCTAATTCCTTCTAATATACCACGCCTATATTTTTGAAATATTAAAATTCAATTCGCTTAAAATGTTTCTAATACCTTGTTTAATAAAAAAAGACTTATTTTACTAACTTTTATTTTAAATCTTTACTATCACTTCTTATTTTCTACTTCCGGCCAGAATTATAAGCGTTAAGGTTTTTATGCAAAGTTTGTCTGGCGAACGCCAAGTATTTAAGTTGTGGCCTTTTGCCAAGCGAAAGAGAGGAAGCAGTGAGTCAAAGCAGGCCGCTTACCTTAGAAGTTACGCAGTTGCTGTTTGCCTTCCAGGCCAGAGGTTTTAATCCTCTTGATAAATTAAACGTATTGTAGTGTTCACAGTCTCTGTGCTACATACGCTTCCTGTTATTATAAGGCCAATCTTCCACGTTTATTATTCTAAAGTTAAATTAGAGTTTAGTTTTATTTTTATACTTTTACGTTAGACCCCAAGTGGAGGGTCATTGTATTCCGAAGTACGGAAGTTATTGTATATAGAGAAAAATAAAGGGTTTTGTATACCCTTCGTGTGTATCCTGTCTACTTACCACAATTAGTGAACATAGCTTTAGTAAGCTCTCTGTTCCGAGTCAGGTCCTTGTATGTTCCCGAAGAAGGTTAGAAGGAACATTGAACCTGATAGTGGCGCCCAACGAAGAAGAATAACCATGGCCGAGTTTCAAGAAGAACCTGTGCTGCCTGCAGAAGAAACGGCTCAGAATCCAGAAATGCCAGCTGCCGCCCTGGAAGGATTTGGGTTACATCGTCCAGACCATGCGCGCTTCGATGAAACCAGAAGCAACATTTAATGGAAACTCACCGGTAACCAGTTTTTTGGAAAAATTGGATGACCACTTCATGCTCTACCCCGTGCACGAGTTTCAAAAAGTTACCTTAGCTACCAGCGCTTTGAGGGGCCAAGCGCTTAACTGGTTCAAATGTATAGGCAGAAGTCTCTTGGGTCAAGCAGGAAGTCCCACCTATACTTACGAAAATTTCAAGACAAGACTGCCCTACTAAAAGCCTTCCCTGTTGTAAGGGATCGTGCGAAATTAGAAACGGAACTTTTCAGTATATATCAACAAAGAATCGAAAACCTCTCGAGCTTTATTTTAAGAAAAATTCACGTTTTCAAAGCTCTTGTATGGAAACCGTCCGGATCCTGAAATAATTCAAGTGATTTTGCCGAGGTTACTACCCCAAGTGCAAGACTTTATTGAATTAAGAAATCCGACTACACTGGAAAAGTTATTTGAGCTAGCAATCCAGTTTGAAAGTAGAAGAACGGCGGACGTCGAAAGAAGACGCCAATATCAACAGCGAAACCAATTTGGTACGCCAAGACTACAGCAAACTCAAGCACACGGCTACGGAGAAAAAGCGAATCAGTGGGCAAGGAAACCCGAGCATTCAAAAACAGCCGGCGAACGTCGACAGTTCAATAGCAACCCAGGAAAAAAGTCTCAAGGCCAGTGGAAAAAGAAGGAAAGCACGGAAAGGAAAATAATTTAAACTAAAACGGATTTCTGCTGACGAGAGGGTGCGGAAATCCGAAGGCCACGAAAACCCCTCTTCCTACAAGTTAAATACAGTAATGGTGAAAAATTTGACTCTTCCGAAGATTGAAGTCTTGGTGAATAATATCCCAGCCACCGCACTCCTGGATACCGGCGCGCAGTGTTCCTGTGTGGCAGAAGAGTTTTTTTAGGAAGTATTTTCGCAAATACCGCATATATAATGCGGATAATACGACAGTGTTAGCGGCGCAAGGAGAAAAATGTAAGTGCGTAGGTAAAGTACCTTTGTATATCCGTATCAAGGACGAACAAGTAAAGATGATGTTTTTTATAGTAAAGAACCTGCAAGCACATTTAATCTTAGGGATAGATTTTCTTTCCGACGCACAAGCTACACTGGATTTTAATGAAGCGTCCCTTAAGCTGACAATGAAACCAGTTCGTAGAAAAGGCTGAACCGCCGATGTTAAATCTTGACCACCTGCCTAATGACGAGCAAGATAGAATCCGACAAGTGGTAAGTGAATTTGCTTCGTTATTTAGTGATATTCCAGGATTTACTCAGGTTACTAACCATAGTATTGACACCGGAGATGCAATGCCAGTTCGTCAAAAACCATACCGGTATGATAAGAATAAGGAAAAAATTATAGAATGGCATATTACCGATATGCTACGTAAAAAGATCATAACGCCCATCTCAAGTAGTTATGCTAGCCCGGTGGTTTTATGTAAGAAAAATAATGACTATCCTTTGGAGCATCCAAAAAGGTGGAGATTCGCTATTGATTACCGTAAATTAAATTCCATAACGAAATATCCGGTATATCCGTTACCGATTATAGAAGAAATTTTAAGGAACATAAAATCAACCAAATTTATGACGACTTTAGACTTAACGACTGGTTATTTTCAAATAGGGGTTAGGCCTGAGGACGTGCCTAAGACTGCTTTTATAACCAAGTCTGGCACTTATGCATTTTTGCGTATGCCGTTTGGCCTTTCAGGGGCCCGGCAACATTTCAGCGATGCATGGACATTGTGTTAAGACCTGTTCTTGGAAAGTCCACATTTATCTATTTAGACGATATCATTATTACTAGTGATAATCTCGACCAACATGTACAGGATTTAAGACAGGTGTTTTCTTTATTAAATGAGGCCGGTCTAAAAGTTAATGTCGAAAAGTGCAAATTTGCAGCCCCTGAATTAAAATATTTAGGTTACAAAATATCTCAAAAAGGGATCGAGACAGATGAATCAAAAATAATCGCTGTACAAAAGTATCCGACTCCAAACACGGCAAAGAAGCTCTCTTCTTTTCTAGGACTTTGTTCATATTATAGGTCCTTTATAAAAGATTTTGCGGCTATCGCTGAGCCATTGTTAAAATTAAAAAGGAAAAAGGCAAGATTCTCGTGGACGGCCGAAGCCAATAGTGCTTTCGAAAAATTAAAACAAGCATTAACGCAAGCCCCTGTGTTGAAATTTCCTGAAAAGGATGAGAATTTAGAAATTTCAGCGGATGCTTCGGATTATGCGGTAGGAGCGGTACTTTCGCAAAATCAGCAGCCCGTGGCATTTTTTAGCCGAACTTTAAATCAAACACAAAGAAACTATTCCGCGACCGAGAGAGAGGCACTTGCAGTTCTGTTAGCAGTGCAAAAGTTCCGAGTCTATTTTGGAAAGGCGCCGATAACAGTGTATACTCTGATCATGCGGCGGTAACTAGATTGTACTCAGGGAAAAATTTATCCCCAAGGTTAATAAGATGGGCACTCAAGCTGCAAGAATATAATCTGGTAATCAAGCATACCCCCGGAAAGGAAAATATCGTAGCAGATGCCCTATCAAGAATTAAAATAGACGAACAAGGTAATACCGTAAAGGTGGCAATGCTCACAGCATGTACAATAAATTCCCGAGAAACTGTAATAACCGAACTGGGTAAGGATCCTGAGTTTGGAAGCATTTATGAGTATTTGAAGGATCCTGAAAATTTTAGCCACCAAGATATTGTGGCGATAAGAAATAGGGCGGCCCATTACGAACTAATAGATGGTCTATTATTTTATACAAAAACTACGAATTCCAACAACGAATTTCGACCTGTTATCCCAGCTAGTCTTAGATTAAATATCCTGCAGGAGCTCCATGACAGCCCTTTAGCTTCTCATGCTGGTATTCGAAAAAAAACTATCCAACGCGTACGCGAGGCAGTCTACTTTCCTGAACTGCAAAAGTTAACAAGGGCGTATGTCCAGTCCTGCCCAACATGTCAAGCAGTTAATTATATTAATTTCCGCCCGGCCGGGTTTCTAAATAGTATTAAATCCGAATTTCCAAATGAAATAATTGGCATCGATTTATTGGGCCCTTTCCCAAAAAGTCAGTTAAATAAAAGTCGCTATCTCCTTGTTATGGTTGATCATTTTAGTAAATGGACCGAAATTGTTCCCTTAAAACGAGCCTCCGCGAAATTAGTTACTGATTCTATTTTAAATAAATATATTTTAAAATACGGGGCGCCCCTAAAAGTTATATCGGATAATGGTCCTCAATTTGTAAGTAATATATTTGAAGACATGTGCCAAAAACTGGGCATACGTCATTTAAAAATGGTCCCGTATCGGCCGCAATCAAATATAGCGGAACGGGTCAATAGAAATATAGTGAAAATTATCCGTAGTTATGTTAAAAATTTTCATAAAAGCTGGGATAACTATGTCAATGAATTTGCTTTCGCCCTTAGGACCGCAAAACATGATACAACGGGCAAAACTCCTGCTGAGTTATTTCTAGGCAGAAAGATTATAACACCGTTAGATAAATTATTTTATGTGCAACAAAGAGCCCCAGAATTTAAAATGGGTGATATAGAAAAACTAATTAAAGAAGCAAAAAAGAATACGGAAGTAGCACAAAGAAAACAGAAAAGCTGTATTATGATTTGAAACGACGGGGAGTAACTTATAAAGTAGGGGATGAAGTTTTAAAAATTAAGCATTCACTTTCTTCAGCACCAGAAGATAAAACTGCCAAATTTTTTCCACGATTTGAAGGACCATATGTTATAGAAAAAATAACTCACGCTGTTGTAGTGTTAAAAGCCAGAAATGGTGAAACCTGTTCCGCAAACATTGATCAAATCATCAACCCTACTTCGATCGTAATAAAATGCAAATCTTTTCAGATCTTTTGCAGGATCCGGCACGGGCAGACACCGCAGGTACAAGCTCCAGAGGTGGGAAAAACGACAAGTACAAGGGCAAGCCAATGAGAGACAGAAGCAAGTGAAAAGAAAAATTGCCCCGCGGAAAAATTGAAGGTAACAAGAAAAAGAAGCCGTTCCACCGTCCAGAAAAGAGAGTTCACGAACACCCCCAGAATGAAGAAGGGAGAAGGACGACGTATGTGAAGAGAACCAGGGAGAAATGACGGCAACTATAACCCGGCTTTAAAACGGAAGATCTACTCATCCGACAGAACTCTCCGCAGCAGCAAAAGTCGCCGAACTGCGGAAGGGCCATCAGCGGCGGCGGAGGAAAAAGTTACAAGGAAAAATTTGAACGGCCAACAACGAGGTCCAAGCAGGAACACGACAGAAGTTTCCCGGTTCCGCCAAGACCAGCTGCCATCAAACGGCCAAGACCACAAGCAGAGGGAAAAAAGAAGGTATTCAAGGGTGGCCGAACTGGTGAAAAAAAAAAGGAAAGCTTCCAGAGGAGAGGAAAGCACTGAAGGGCGAGCCGCCCGTACAAGAAGGAGGATAAATCAAACTACTATCTCTGCAGTACCTTTAAAGGACTGGGCCCAGAAAAGGATGTCCGAATATTACAAAGATAAGTAAAATTTTATGTTACTTTGCAAACTTAAGTTAATCTTTCATTCTTACTGCAAGTGGCAGATTTCAAGAAGTTTTACCTCATGCGAGGTCTACCTTTATCGCCAAAAGGGCGAGAAATGAGTTTTGACCGATTTTTGGTATTATGTTTTTCAATTACTCGCGCGCGTAAAACTAAAGTTGATGTATAATAGCGTTGTGTAAAGACTTAAATATTGTAAAAAGTTATTGTATAAATTTTATTTAAAACATTCTAGCAAGAAAGAAGTAGAAGTTTAGTCTGAAAGACTTTTTGAAATGTAGTATTATTTCAATGTAGAAAGAATTGGCACTTGCTTTGAAAAGAATAGAAGTTAACAATGTACTACTAATGTATGTTTTCAAATGTGTAAAATTAACGGCATGTTGATATGTGTGAACTGTTATTTTAAATGTTAAGAAATACCGTGATATGGTAAAAGTGAAAGTAATGTTAAAAATTTTTTATTCGTGTGTGACTGTAAAAAGACTAAATCATGGTGAATATGTGTTAAAGGTTGAATGATGTAGTTAGGCTCTCTGACGCTACACTTTAGAGTTAGCCACTTTCAGAATAGTACCTCAGGGTTTAGAGTTGAAATTAGGGTGTGTTAAGAGGTCTGGTATGTTGAATTTTAACACGTTAGTGTTTTGATTGTAGGAGGAAGTGTTGGAACACGTATAGACAGAAACACATTCGTGTTTGGTGTTCTTTTACAACACATGTCAGAGAGCACGGGGAGAGATAATTAAAATAGTCATGAATGAAATAAGAATGTTAAGAGAAGTATAATTCTATATGTTACTTGCCATTTCATTGTGTAACATTTCATTAAACTAGTTTTCCTTCCAGATCTCTGGAAGGAACCAGAATTGAATAAAAGCTCCTGTTTAGATGCAGTACAGATGAAAAAAAAAAGATTGTTGTATATCCTGGGAGCTGCTATTGTAAAAACAAATTTTTTTTTTTAAAATTTCTAGTTTCTAGCGAAAGTTATGTTTGTAAAAGATTGGCCTCGCGTTAGATTCTAGAGCTAAAAGTTTTCAACAAGGTCGTTTTAGACCTCAGTTTCAAACTAATTAACTCTGGCGGGAAGTATGTAAGGATCTTAAGTTTTACTAACGTTTATTTTATTTTAAATCTTTACTATCACTTCTTATTTTCTACTTCCGGCCAGAATTATAAGCGTTAAGGTTTTTTATGCAAAGTTTGTCTGGCGAACGCCAAGTATTTAAGTTGTGGCTTTTTGCCAAGCGAGAGAGAGGAAGCAGTTGAGTCGAAGCAGGCCGCTTACCTTAGAAGTTTTACGCAGTTGCTGGTTGCCTTCCAGGCCAGAGGTTTTAATCCTCTTGATAAATTTAAACGTATTGTAGTGTTCACAGTCTCTGTGCTACATACGCTTCCTGTTATATAAGGCCAATCTTCCATTACTTTTTTAAATTAGAGTTTAGTTTTATTTTATACTTTTTAAGTGGGTCATTGTATTCCGAAGTACGGAAGTTATTGTATAAGAGAAAAATAAAGGGTTTTGTATACCCTTCTTGTGTATCCTGTCTACTTACCACAATTAGTGAACATAGCTTTAGTAAGCTCTCTGTTCCGAGTCAGGTCCTTGTATGTTCCCGAAGAAGGTTAGAAGGAATATTGACCCTGATAATATGAAATAACTATAAAAAGCTTTCCCTCTTAGTATACATGTCCAGCAATTCCATGACACTAAGAAAGCAATCCCGTGAACTCTGAAATAAGGATATGTGTACAGCACTCATATTCAATTAATAATGTTAATTAACAATCACTGATAATCATTTTTTCTCAACCTGAATTCAAATTAATAACATCTATGCAAATAAGGTGGACACAGTGGCGCGTCTTTAACGTTGTCATATGCAACTGTAATTTTGGAATAAGAGAGTCTTTAAGAGATTAATAGGATGATAACTTGAGATTCTTTAAGAGATTACTGACAAAAATTAATCAAAGTTTTTGTGGAGAAAGGAGTTTTGTGAAGAAAAGAACTTGCAAAAAGTTCTTTTTCCAGGAATAAAAGGAATTTCTGAGAGAAATTTAGGAATTTTTTTCAAAACTATTATGCATCACATCATTCGGGGGGGGGGGGGGGGGGGGGGGGGGTACTTAGCCAAACTGTTTCTGACTGCATCAAAATTAAAAATCTTAAAATAAATTAGCCCTTTTTAAAAACATTTTTAAAAAATTTAACAAAGTGCTACATAGAGTTGAAGATTGCAACTATTTTCATAAATGAGGACCTAATTACAGCCAAAATAAATAGATAAGCAACACGAAAGAAGACTAAAAGTATTATGTAAATTAAAATATTAATATTCTTGTAAATATTACTGCTTACCTGCCTTGCTGTCATTAAATTCGGATCTTTCATCCGACGTAATTCTTCATCTACTTCATCTAAGCGTCCTGCTTCAAGAGCTGCAAGCCAAGCTTCCTCTTCGTCAACTTTTTTTACTTTTTTAGGTGGAGGAGTTGCGGTAACTGATGGATTGCTAGATTCAAGTAATGAAGCAAATGAAGGTGGTGGTGCTGTATCCACTACATCTGAAAATAAATAAGATTAATAGGATGATAACTTGAGATTCTTTTCATCCATATTTATTTACAATTTAATTTCATGTCATGATAAAAATATAACTATGAATGACGGTAGTTTGCTATAATAAAACAAATATGAGACAAATACGAAATTTTTAAATATTTAAGCACCCTACTTCTGTATGTATTTAAGTTACCTAGAATTAATTATTTAATGGGATGGAATAAGAAAGACAGTTTAAACATAAAAATAATAACACATTTAAAAAACTTCATAACCATTACCTTATCCCAAAAATTAGAACTTTCAATAATTATCATATACAAAACTAAGCTATATTACTTCACAAATGAAATTTTTAAAATGAATACAGTCAAAAGTCGTTAATTCGGACCCCCATAATCCGGAATGATCTATAATCCGGACCTCAAAGCTACAAACTTTCTGTGCATGCGTCTACACGACGCATGCGCATAAGACCTTTACGGCTGCGAATATGCGTGTGCGCATGCGCATAATATGTTTACACATGCGCGTGTAATGTATAACGGACGGTATAAGCTAAGCTAAAATTATCTAATTCAGTTAATGTTGCAGATTGCGTTGTTCCTTAATCTTGGAATTGGATCCGGCTTATTATTTTTTGCAGACTGTTAGAGCAATTTTATAAAAGTAAGCTTGAACTTTCGATTATGTCAAATAGAATTTCTGATATATATTTGCTAATATGTAAAGGATCTACAAAGCGAAAGTATGTTTCGAAGTCCATTAAACAAAAAGTGGAATTACTGCAAAAAATGGATAAAGGCATAATCCTTTGTTTATCTAACCATTCCGAAACCTGTTTATCAATTTCACGCTGCTCTGCGGCGGGAGGGGGGGAAACGCCGTGGTGCGCAATGAATTGGAAGTTGATCTGTCAGCACTATCCTTATCTTCAGGGCAGATGTTTTTATTTTATTTGGCTTATAATTCCTTACTAAATGTAGTATTTCATCTCGATATACTCCGTCTTTGATATGATTTAAATCAAATTCCTCATCATTATAATTCGCTTCCAATATTGAAGAAAGTGACACAGACGTTATTGAAAATGAAAAAATTTGGATTGACAAATTAGTCGGTATTCTTGACACAGCAATTATAGGACTTCAACAGCGGAACTTTGTAACTGAAGAAGAAATTATCTCTGTTTATAGAATTAAAGAGAAAGTATTATCACATAAAACGAAGCAACTTAATTTACATTGAAATAAATGTTTAATAAAGTAAAAAAATAAATATTAAGCTCTCTCTTTTTTTTTTTTTTTTTTTTTTTGGTTACCCTTTAGATCGTAATTGTTCTTTATTTCATAAATTACGGTTTCATATTTTTTATTTTATAATTTCTGCATGCTGTCTTACCAGATTTAAACTGATGATCTATAATCCGGAAAAATCGATAATCCGGAATCGCCGAAGTCCCGACGAGTCTGGATTAATGACTTTTGACTGTAAAATATATTCAATAACAATGCTAACAATAAGTTAATGCTTAATTATTAGCATTATCAATACATCAAAAATTACTTATACAGATCATAAAGTAAAGCCTAATGCTATCATTGCCAAGTGTACTACTTTAAAACAGACACTTCATGGTCACTACCAACCTCCCCATTTGCAATTGTAACTCATGTCATCACCATTGACCCACTATTTATCTTCTTCATGTCGTTTGAGGGTGTAGTTCAAGGCAACCTTTATTCGCATGCTTTTCATGAAGAGAAACACATTAGATGGGAAGTAGAGAAAAAATTAAGGAACTTGACCTTTTATCTACAGTTGTTGTTCCTATGGTTACGAGTCAAACCGGGTAGTAGAAAAAATACCTTGAAGTTCTTATTTTAAAGTATAAAAATATAGAGGGATTTCCTTTAACATAATTAAAATTCATTCAATCACCTATAGATAACCCTTCAGATTTTTTTTAATTTTTATTTATTTATTTATTTATTTTGTGAAATCTAGACTGCTGTTCCCTGTTTTTGTTTGCCTTATTAATCCATATAATGTTTGTTGTTTAACGAACTTACTTTTGTACGTGTTGTACATTTTTGGTTCGGGAGTTTGTGTGTGTACAAATTCTAAAAAAATATATTTCATATATTTACTAGAAGTCTAGATCCTGAACTCAAAGTCATTGTATACATGCCATAAAAAATTTTTCTTTTGAAATCTTTTTCCAGTTGTATTATTTTGCGAATCTGAGCAGTCTCTTTCTAGTAAATAAGCATCCAATAGTCACAGACAAAACACTGTCTCTAAATACCAATTCAGCCTCTCAGAACTCGAAATCTTTTATTCATAAATAATTTTTCTTACTGAAAAATGACTCAAAGATTTTTGAGCAGCAGAGAGGGCAAGTTACTATTATCAGTTTTGAAAAGGATAGTGTTATTTTTAAAAAGCCTGCTTAGATACGAATACTTCCAAAATTAGTCAAACAGTTGAAATGAATAAGAGTATATGCCAATAGTCAAAATCATCATAATCAATAAGATGCTTATAAGATTTATATCAACATCCATGCTGATTAACATCTAATATTACTTAATCTTGATAAATATTAAGTTTGCTATAAAATCAAGATATATATTTTCAACTTCCCCAATACAATTAAGAAAAAGAAAATAAATTTTGGTTACATAAAATGGAGTCATTACAAATAATTGCAATCAAAAACCAACCAGTACCAAAATAACATCATAAATAAACAAACAAATAAAGCTAAATTTTTAAAAATTCAAATTAAAAAAACTTTTAAAAATTATAACTTCATTTAACAATTAGTTTTAAATAATATATGCACATTTTTTTTTCAATTTTTCTATGACTTTGCTTTTTTATATGCACAATAACAATAAACAACTTTAATGTAAGTGAATGCTTAAATATTGTTATTTTAGAAGTCAAACAACAAAAATTTGCAAATATAATTCTGATTTTTGTTGTTTGACTTCTAAAATAATTGTTTTTGGAGTGTTATTTTAACCTAAATATTGTCATATCATGATACAGTATAAAAATAAAATATAAACGCAATGAAAAACTTCAAAACTAGATACCATGCTCTCTGAAAAAAGTTAGAGGCTTTATTAGTAAAAATACTAAAGCCGTCTTTCAGTTAGACTGAATTACAACAACAGGTGTTAAAACAGTAAAAAGTAATAATATGAAATTATAACGTTGCGCGCCTCTAACTAGCACGCAACCAAGAGGTGACTGTGAAAGCTTGTATAAACCACAGAGTCTTATAAAGGGTTTAAGTCCATTTTTATTCAACGTACTAATTTACAATTGCGTTCTCTTGACGCTTACAAACGGTGCCAACTCGGCAGTCAAAATAAAAATAAAAACCTGAAAAGAAATTAAAGACAATATTCTAACTACGAGGCTCTCTCAAATAACTAACTCACCGCGTTTTACAATATGGCTGCTAATTCAGCAGACTTGAAGCTCACTGGAACAATTGCAACTACTTCCCGCCAAGCACATAGGCCGCAACGCAGGGTTTTTCAAATCTCTATAACTACCTCCGCGCGCTCGCTAAGTAAGAATAACTCTCTCTCTCACCGAACTTGTTTCCTTCTATTTAAATCATACTACTTCCGCTGATAATTTGAATGCTTGCGCGTTCTACTCAATTTACATATTCTGGCATTGGCAGTTCCAGGGGAAAGTAAGGATTGACAGGAAAGATAGTTTAAACTTAAAATAAATGTTAGTTAAAATAAATGTAAACCCTACATTTGCCGCTGCCAGAATTTGGAAAACTTGGAAGCAGGGTCCTACAAACGACCTGTTGTAAGTTTATCTAATTCTGAACTAACTGGCGAAAGCCTCGTTTACACAAAAAAATAATCTTATGTAACAATTAAAAATTCTGTTACTCGTTACAAAGGTTTCTTCTTACAGCAACTTTTCCTGGACTTCATCAATCAATCTTGGTCTTTCCTTCCAGCATCTGGAAGGAATAAGTATCAGTATCTTTCTACATACATTATAATTTACACTTTCTTGACACAATAAATTTTTGTTTTTAAACGTTTCGTTTTCTTAGTTATTGCTTAACTTCACATTCATTCAATTTTTCAAAGCATTAATTTAACTTTACCCTGGCTCTCCACCATGTGTGGTGTCAAACGGGAATATTCGTGTTTTAGTCTTACAACACTTCCCCTAACCACCATGATTTGTTAGAATTCAAAACCAAATAGACACACCTTACTCGACATTCTACCAACTCAATGAGCTACTTAATATTCTTAAAAATTCAAATGTAGGTGGAGAACCCTACAAAACACATTCATTCTAACTTCCCCCTCATTCATCTTTTAAACATGCAGGCTTTCGCTCTAAAGCATGACTTTACAGTTTAATACTTAAATTTTGACTTCATTGCTTTTAAGCATTCACTTTTAGCATCTACAATTTTATGCTTCTAGACTAAATTCTACTTTTACATAACATGCAAGTATTTACATACATTTACAAAAGTTTAATACATATGCTTTTTACAATTTACCATAAAATGAATAAGAGAAAATAAATTTTTACTTTACTCATTCCTTCGCCAAGCTGGCGGCACTGAAACTAAAATTCTTATTAGTACATACAAAGAATACGAAGTTATTTTATCTCCGGCCAAATTTTGGCTTTAACATAACAGAATTAGTCTTTCGACCAACAGAAAATGCTTGTTCTTAGCTTTTACACTTAAAGAAAATAATACTTTTGCCTTAGCTAAATAAAGTAAAACAAAACTAAGTCTCAACCGAGACATATTGACTTTCGTCGTCAAAACATAGAACTTCGTACTTATGCATAACATTTCGGAACAAAAGAGAAAAAAAGATTTATAGAAGGTTTTAACTTATCTTTGAGTTTTCGATGCTTGAAACTCCGTCATCCGTTTTTGGACAAAATTGATCCCAAGTTAGAGGTGTCATGGATGTCAATCTTC